ATTCGTTTGAACTTGAGCAGCTTTGGCAAGCAAAAATCTATATATATAAAATTGTTTGTCCTGACTGACTGACTGACTGACCTAACAATCTACAGCCCAAACTACTGAGCCTAAAAAGCTAAAATTTGGAACATAGGTTTATTTTATAACGTAAGCATCCGCTAAGAAAGGTTTTTTGGAAATTGTAACTTTAAAGAAGGGAAATTGAAGGAAATGGGGGAGGGAGCTTTTAATGAAACTCTTTGTTCTTTAAAGTTAGAAACATGAAAATTTAAATTACAACTATTAAGCATAAATGAATAATGACGTGTTTCAGGGTTTTTGGATTTTTACATTTTAAGGGGGAAAACAGGGGGTGAAAGTTTGTATGGGACTATCGTTTTTTTTTGTTCTTTTTAAAGTTAGAAACATAAAAATTGGAATTGCAGCTACTGACTACAAATTATTAATAACGTGTTTCAGGGTTTTTGGATTGTCACATTTTAAGGGGGGAAAATGGGGGTAAAAATTAATTTGGGAGTATCTATGTTTTTGGTTCTCTTTAAAGTTAGAAACATGAAAATTGGAATTGCAGCTAATGAATACAAATTAATAATGATGTGTTTTAGGGTTTTTAGATTTTCACATTTTAAGGGGGGGAAACGGGACTGAAAGTTTATTTGGAAATATCGATTTTTTTAAAGGTAGGAACTTAAAAACTGGAATTGTAGGTTCTTATCATAAATAAATAATGAAGTGTTTAAGGGTTTTTGCATTTTAACATTTTAAGGAGAGAAATAGGGGTGAAAATGTGTTTAATAGTATGTATATATTTTTTTGATATTTAAAGTATGAAACATAAAAAATTTAATTAGAGCTACTGATTAAAAATCAAAAATGACGTGTTTCATGGTTTTTGGATTTTCACATTTTAAGGAGGGAAAACGAGGGTAAAAATTTGTATAGAAGTATAAATTTTTTGAATCTTGGAACTTGAAAATTATAATTGTAGACTAAATAAATAAGGACGTGCTCTGTGGTTTTTAGATTTTTGTATGGTACTATCATAAAAATAAATTAAATAAAAAAAAAATTATTATTAAAAATTAATAAAAATTAAAAAAAATTAATAAAAATTAATTAAAATTAATAAATATTATTAAAAAATAATAAAAATTATTAAAAATAAATAAAAATTAATAGAAATTAATTAAAATTAATAAAAATCATTAAAAATTAATAAAAATAAATAAAAATAAATAAAAATAAATAAAAATAAATAAAAATAAATAAAAATAAATAAAAATAAATAAAATTTAATAAAAGTGAATAAAAATGAATAAACATGAAAAAAAAATGAATAAAAATGAATAAAATGAATTAAAATGAATAAAAATGAATAAAAATAATTAAAAATGAATAAAATGAATAAAAATGAATAAAAATGAATAAAAATGAGTAAAAATAAATAAAATTAATAAATATAAAAAATAAATAAAAATGAATGAAAATCAATAAAACTAATAAAAATTAATATAAAAGGAAGTCATGTATTTTTTTATATTAATAACACGACTACATGCGAGAAAAGTCGCGGGCAAAGCCGCGGGCAATAGCTAGTTGATTATATAAGAGAAGTTGCTGATGCTCTTAGGTTTATAGCAGTAATTATGTGACTTTAGCTTTAACATTAAATGTGAAATTTAGACACAACTAAAATTGCTAAAGTAATAAACCATTTTCAATCATATAATTTATGTTTATTAATGGTAAACAATATCTTAAATGGTTGATGCCATTTTAAGTCTCTTATTGACAACCCTGGTTAGCATAATTAAGTTAGGTGACATTTCTGTGACATTATTTGGTTTTATCTTTGTTTATTTTATGATTATATATTTTAAGTTTTATGTAGGTAAGTATATATGTGTATGTGAGAGATTAGCTTTACTGAACATGGCAATCATGTAAAAAACTGAACCTATTTAAAATTGGTAACACCATTTAAAAAAAATGTTTATTGTCCAATTGTTTGAAGGTTATAAAATTCAAAATTATTTGATCTATTGCAGGGTTTCGCATTTGGGTAATCTGTGGCCATGGTATACCCCACTTATCTCATACCAGGTCATAATATTTTATTCAAATGTTAAGCATAGAAACAATTTTGTTCATGTCACTGATCGGTGACACTATTTTCCAGTGCAACTGAGACACTATAAAGAGTTTTATCCAACCAGTATTTTCAAATTTAAAAAACTCAATTTAAAAGAAAACTAATATATATATTTTATTTTACTAATTTATTTCCTAAAAAGGGCCAATATAGAGGCATCACTTACCAGCCATAGGAGTCATTTTAAATCATGATTGGTCTTGTGACTAGCTATTTTTCTTAAATAAACACTCAACACCAACTAAGTACCTTTCATCTAAACTCTTATTCACATAACACAAATTGCATAAGTAGCAATTTAGAAATAAAAAATAATTTTAACATGCAAAAAGTAAGTAAAAAGTATGTATGTATCCTTGATCTTTAAACAGGTAGTTATGAATACAGACACAAAAATTTACCAGTTTCTTTATGGTTTTTTGCAGTTATATCATACAAAATACGTATACATCATTAAATAATAAAAGCTAATTAAACAATAAAATGTAGATAATGAAATGAACATTTTCCAGATTAAAGCTTTCTGTAATATTCATGTTGTATATGATTTGAACAATATTTATTAAATGGAACAAATAGATACCTATAAAATTTTTAATTATAACATGAAATTCGATGTGACCAGTAAACATTATAATTATTATTATTGATCTAGCTGAATGATCTGGTTATAGGATCATTGATCATTAGCTATTAACAGATTTAGCAAGTGTTGGTGCAACAGGGTGTCTTTAGATATATTAAAGGTGTAAAGTAAGAACACCAGTAATCGACAGTGCACCAGTAATCTACATTTTAAAATTCAAATTTTTCTAATAAATAAGTTTAGCAAAAAAATATTGCTCACATTGTGTCAAGCATGTGAATTTCGTTTTTTTTTTTTAATTTGTTAAGGTAAGTACATTATAAAATAGGTTGTTGCTTTTTAAATAGTTAAGATATGTGAATAAAATTTTGTGCAAGGTATCCTTGTGTTCTAAAACACATGTTTTGGGTAATATTTCATTGATTACTTGGATTATAAACCTAAATTTTAGGGGCGTTGTTAACTGGGTACACATACTTTCCAGTATTTGACACTTTTTGTTGATTACTGAGGTATTATGGGGCTCCAGTGTTCGACTTTTTAATCCTGTCTTTGTAGTGACAATAACTGGGGTGATGATAGCTGGTGAAACTGTCAATAACTTGGATGACATAACTGGTGGCAATTACTGGTGATAGGGCATATATTATCAAAAATTACATTAAAATTGCCATTAGATGTTGAACTAATGTCTATTACTGGTGCTCTTACCTTACTTTCACAAAAAACAGCATATTTTCTCAAAATTGGAAAAAATTGTCTATTTATTATATAAATTTAATCTCAAGATGTTTACATTACAGTGTCACAAGAAACAAGTGATATTATTCAAGATTTTATTGTTCTATTTTGCTATGTTGACAACTTAAGAGGGAACTACACAGCCATTCTAAAAAGAGATGCCATAGCTACAAAAAAAATCGGATTTGAGATTTTTGCATCAGGATCGTGGCAAGCTAAATTAACTTCTAACCAAGCAGAAATGCCATATATGTTTCCAAAATATTAAAAATCCAACATAATAGTTAGCCGTATCTGAATACTTAAGGGCTAAGGAAATAAACTAAAGAAGGGAATTCAGCTGTGGTAATCTTAAAGGTAAGAAATGACTCAAAATCGGTCCCACATAAAATTATATTTATGCAGGGCTGATTTTCTTACCCCTGTGGAAATAACTTTAAACGTGATTTTCTCCATTTGATACTCTCAGTAGATACTGCACCTGTTTTTAGGAATGCATTATAGCTGACAATATTTTTCTATTTATTTATAGTTAATAAAAAAATGTATCCAAAAATATGAAATTGCTGAACTGGTAAATAAAAACAATCATATATTTAGTAATTAATAATGCGAATTTTTAAGAATAACTTAAATTTTTAGTGAGAATGCTAAATATTAATGACTAACAACTAAGTAATGCTTAGGAAATCAAGAATTTACTTGGTAAAAGATTAAGATGAAACAAAAAATTAGTCATGCATCCAGTGGTTTATCTACAGTTGCTTAGGTATTTTAGAAAAATGTATTAAACATATATCACACCAATTAAATAAGAAAAAAGATTTGTAAATTATAAATTCAAGTTTTTGCATTATTTTTTACTTTTGCTGAAAAAAAATTAGCTATATGAGTAAAAAGTCATATTTAGGTAAACCAGAGGGTAAAACAAATCAGTTTCAAAATACTTTTTGTGTTATATGTATAAAAAAATAGTACAATAATAATAGTTATGACCTGACCTATGTATAGAGTTGTTGTCCTTCTAATTTTTTTTAATTAGCATTTACAGCATGAGATGACTCATTATCCTTAACTAATATTATCTACTCTAAACCAGTCGACATAAAATTTAATTAAAAAATTGAGAGGCAATACACTGTTAACGATTTTATACTCACTTTTTGGCATCTCATTCTTCAATACTCCGAGTAGCAAAAAAAATCAACACCATACCAAAAAAAAAAATGTATTATATATTTGAACTGAACACAAAAAATAGTTTGTTTGAAATGTTTTTAATTATTTAACACATGGATTATGTTAAATTACGAACATTTTAAGTATATCTCCATAAAAAATAATTACAACACAACCTTCCCGACTTGTGACTTGTGACTGACATTTGACATTTAATTATTGACAACTTCAACTTTGACTTTTACAAATAATAATTCCTAGGCATATCTTTGTGATGTAATATGTATAAATCAAGTAGTTAATTTTCATACTTTTTATAGTATTCATTTAATTAACGCAAATTAACGAAGAATAACTTTAAATTTATTTATAAATCCTACTAATTAAAACAAGATTTTCAATTTTCAAAATACATAGAAATATTTAAATAAAGGTATTGGTTCACATCTAGAAAAATTGCCTTGATGTTTGATTTGAAATTTGAAGTTTGAAGTAGTTTGAGTATGGTTTGATTTGAAGAAAAAAGTGAACCGATAAGCATTAGATGCATGCATTTTAAATATTTAAAAAAATATTTTGCGTTGTATTTTAACTAAAATAACTTTTATGTCCTGTGTCCTATAGGATATCTTTCGATGAAATGTCGGTCGCTCCGATTTAAATTTAAATAAAACTAATTATCCTAATCTAATAATTATGTCGACCTTCTATGTAGTTCAAGAAGGCCCAGTAAACGCTTTGGCATTAAATAAAGACTACACACAAGTTGCTATTGGTGGAAGAAATGGTAAGATTTATTTCTTTAATATAAACTTCATTTATTAGTTTTATTTTTAGTGTTTAAGGTATACAGTATAGAGGAAGATAAATTTAGAGAAGTATGTAATGTAAGAGGATCAAAACATCTAAACCAAGGTTTCTCTTACAATGATGTGTCTTGGAGCCCTACAGATGGTAAATTTAAAACCCAAATTTATCTTTTCATTACCATTTTTTTTTCACAGATCACTATTTGGCAACTGCTGCAACAAATGGACATGTATCTGTCTGGAATCTTACTAAAATGGGCAAAGCAATGCAAGAACAAGATTATCAAGACCACAAACGTACTGTTAACAAAGTTAATTTTCATGCATCTGAGCCAAATAAGTTGATATCTGGGTCACAAGATGGTACCTTAAGATATTTTGATATAAGAGTAAAGAGTGCAGTAGCTATTTTTTACAGGTTGAAATAAATATGCATTTTATATTAAACAATATCCATATTTAGTAAATTATAGTCAATTTACTATATAGTTATTTTTTTGCAAATATAATCTTTATTCTGAAATATTTTTAGCAATACTGAGAGTGTCAGAGATGTTCAGTTTTCTCCACACAGTTCATACACTTTTTCTGCAGTCTCTGACAATGGCAGTGTTCAGTTATGGGATATTCGTAAAACAGAAAAATGTTTACAACAATATACAGCCCACAGTGGGCCCGTGTTTGCCTGTGATTGGCATCCAGAAGTTACCTGGTTAGCAACAGCTAGTAGAGATAGAACCATAAAGGTGTATATACATTTTTTTAATCTTTTGAATGTAGACATTATTAGATAACCATAGAATATTCTAAGTATAGTCAAATAAAGTATTTTGAGAGATTTTTTGTGATGTGAGTATCAAAGTTCAAACAGCAGTCACCTCTGGGAGCTTGTTCCACCCATGTATTACTCTGTAAGCAAATTTCTTTGGCAAAGTTTCTAGCTTTCAGTTTGCAGTTTTAGGGTTTGTCCACCTAAATAGTTGTGCTCTTTAAAAAAATCCTTTATTGTCCAAACAGGCGTATTATAGGACAGCTTAAATACTAATAAGGCTGAAACAAATAATAAAAATACAAAAAAAGTACAAAACAAACTGTTCTCTTTGTGCTGAAGAACATCTAAGAGAAAACTGTCCTAAAACTAAAGTGTGTTGTGCTAATTGTAAGAATTCAAATATTAATTTTAAATCCAACTATCCAACTGATCACTACACCACTGATTCAGAGTCTAATACTCTGAAATATTTCAAACAAGTTCTTAAAAAATAAAAACCTATTGTGAAAATTAATTTCTTATCTCTGCTTTCTTTTTTGTTTTAATTTAATCTCAACATTATAATAGTTTTCACTAATTTACCACAATTTAAATAATCTTTCTCTCTTTTATGGATATAGCTGAACTAAATATTTTTAATGAGATTGAAAATGAAGAAAATGAGATTGAATTAAATAATAATTCTCTTTATGACTTAGATAATTTTTTTAAATATGATCAGTTGCAATAATCATTTAACAACCTTAATAAAAAATTTGCATTTGAATATTAGAAGTATAAAAAAAAGTTTGACAACTTTTTATTATTTTTAGAAACTTTTGGGGTAAAAATGCAGTTTAGAGTGAATCAGCGTATTACTAAAATTTTCAGTTTATGTGAAAGTATATGTCATTTGAAGCTTAAAAATAAAAAAACTCTTGGCGGTGACTAATTTAAATAAATTTAATCCCTTTTAAAATGTTCACTTTTTCACTTGCAATGGTCAATCAGGTGACGTTTGTGTACTAGTTTACTGAGATTGTTAAATTTATTATAATGACATGGAGATGCAATGGACACATAAACAAGAGTAACTCCGATGTCTCCAGGCCGTATAGGTTAGGTAAATTAATTGAGTTTTTTAATTTTTCGCATTTTTTGTATACTTTTTTACGAAACAATCCGCGATCGTTCCAGGCCGCACAGGTTAGGTAAATTAGTTAGGTTTTTGTATAATTTTTGCTAAATAACCTGCAATGGCTCTAAAACCTACAGGTTAGGTAAATTAGTGAAGTTTTCTAAATGTTTTCTCATTTTTGCTAAATAACCTGCAATGGCACTAAAACCTACAGGTTAGGTAAATTAGATAGGTTTTTCTCATTTTTTGTATAATTTTTTTTTGCGAGGTATTCCCGATGTCTTCAGGCCGTATAGGTTAGGTAAATTAATTAAGTTTTTTTTTTAATTTTTCGAATTTTATGTATACTTTTTTTACGAAACCATCCGCGATGGTTCCAGGCCGCACAGGTTAGGTAAATTAGTTAGGTTTCTGTTTAATTTTTGCGAAATTACCTGCGATGGCTCTAAAACATACATGTTAGGTAAATTAGTTAGGTTTTTTAAATTTTTCTTATTTTATATATAATTTTTTGAAGAAACAACCTGCGATGGCCCCTGGTCTCACAGGTTAGGTAAATTAGTTAGGTTTTTCTCATTTTATGTGTAATTTTTTTTGCGAGGTAACCCTAATGTCACCAGGCCGTATAGGTTAGATAAATTAATTCAGTTTCTTTTAATTTAGCATATTCCATAGCAAGAAATTGATCAAAATGTGATATATAAAAAACATATTTTTGGGCATTTCCAGGGCAAATGTGTTTCAGAGGGTCTAAAATAGCCTTAAAAAGAGCCCGTCGTTCGGCCGATGGCGGATTTATCCTTATTTTTATATTTTCTGATGAATACACACATAATTTTTTTATTGGTGATGTTTTATTTTGCAAATATGGAAAATAAAAATTTTTGGGAGAGGGGATAAATTTCATGAGACCGCTGAGATTTTTTTTCATTTTGTGTTTGGAAGGCTTGTTTACTTATGAAAAACTTTTTTTTGTTAAAATGTGGATTCACTCTAAACTGCATTTTTTCCATTTTTGGTTTAAAAGACTTGGATATAATAATATTAGGAGAAACACGTAATGTTATTGAACTTGATAATTTAATTACACCTGGTTTTATCAATATATTTAATAAAAGTGTGAATAATCAATGTGATGGTGTAGTTATATATATATATTATAAACAACATTCAGTTTGAAATAGAACATACAAAGTTGCCTCTATCAAATGTAAGGATAAGCTCAATAACATTTAGTCATAATGGTGTGCCCTATACAGAAATGCCTTGTTATAAATCTCCATCCATATCAGATGATACATTTCTTACAGATTTTGAAAATTTCTTAAATATTATACCAAGAAGGCTAGGAATGGATATATTTATTGGTGACTTTAATATTAATATCCTTGATCCCTCAAACCAAATAACAAATAGATATTTGGCAATGTTATCTTCCTTGGGATTTGTATCGTATATTAATTCATACACCAGGATTACTGTAGAAACGATATCATGTATTGATCATATTTTTATAAAAAATAATATGCCAAATAAAAATTTCTCATTTAAATAGTTGGTAATTGACACTGATCTAACTGATCATTTTCCATTGTTTTCAAATATTACAACAAACGAAAGAAACTTTAAGCATAATACATTAAACCAACGTACAACACAATACACACAATACAATATAAATAGATTTACAAAATTATTAGAATATGTAAACTGGGACAGCGTCATTTCTTTTAGCAATCCAATTTTGGCCTACCAGAAATTTATTGAAATATATTCCCTAAAAGAACAATGTAATATAAATAATAGGCATAATACTTGTAAAAAAAATAAAACCATGGATAAGTCAAGGCATCATCATGTCTATTAAACAGGAATAAAATGAAAAAGCAAATATTAAAAACCAAAAACAACAATCTTCTAAGAGACTATAGGATATATCATAACCAACTAAATAAAATAATAAATAAAGCTAAAAATGATTATTATACAATTCAAAATACTAACAATGATATTAAAAAAATATTCAAAATAGTTAAAGAAGCTTCAAATGAACACCGAAACAATAAAACAAAATGATTTTAATATTCTAATCAATAATAAATAATTTACAAATGACAAAGAAATGGCCAACTACTGCAATTAGGCATTCCTACGACCTGTCAAACAATAGGTGCCAGTGGGAAATTCTTGTATATCTAAGGGGGTAGCGACACAATCTTGCAACTTGGACGCTATTTTTATTCGAAGTAGTAGTCGCCAAGCCTGCCAATTTATGAAGAAATGTATAGGTGGGTTTTTTAAATATTATTTTTATTGTGTTTGACATAAAATATTTAAATGTTATCCATTATTCATGATTTTACGTAAAGTAGGTAGAATACACCGTATGTCGCCACCCTTAGATATACCAAACCTTCCCACTGGCAATTCATTTGTTTGGAATGCCTAATAACTATTTTTCAAAAATTGGTATAGATATGGCAACTCAAATCAATTATGTAGATGACTTCCTAATGAGATATCCACCTCTAATCAACTTAATGGCATTAAATCCTGTCAATAAAAATGAATTAATAGAACATAAATTCGTTAAAAAATAGCAGTGCTCCTGGGATTGACGGAATTACATCTAGAATGTTGAAAAATGGTCACCGATACATAATAGAGTCTCTAATGCACATTATAAACCTAATCTTTACAACAGGTAAGATACCGGGAGAACTTAAAATATCAATTGTAAATCCAGTTTTTACAAACGGACCCAAAAAAGATGTGTCAAATTACAGACCAATAAGTCTGATTACAAATTTTGTAAAAATGTTTGAAAAATGTTTAAAAAAAAATTATACGAATATCTAATTGATAAAAAGATTTTAAATGTTAAACAGTTCGGGTTCCAAAAAGATGTGATGCCATGTATGAATTGATATCTAATATAAAAAACAGTCTTGAGAATGAAAATAAAAATATAAGTGTTTTTATCGACATCGCGAAAGCTTTTGACACTGTTCCTCACAAGCAACTACTAAATGTTCTTGAACATTATGGCATTCGAAGATTGGTTTTAAAAATTTTTGAAAACTACCTACACGAGAGAACACAGTTAAAATTAGAAATGAATTTAGTAATCCTGTTAATATTCAAATAGGTGTGCCCCAAGGAACTGTCCTTGGTCCAATACTTTTTATCATCTATATCAACTCTCTTTTAAACTTAGATATAAATGGTATAGCAATATCCTATGCAGATGACACCGTATTAATGTTTGAAGATAAAACCTGGGAGGCTGTTAAATCAAAAGTGGTTGCATGAAGGGGTAAGAATTATGAAAGACTGGTTGGATTATAATAAACTATCTTTAAATATATCGAAAACAGTATATATTTCTCACTCATTGAATCCTTAATTAGATATGGCATAATTGTATGGGGTGGTTTATATGACAATGCCCTACATCCTTTAAGTATCATTCAAAATTATATCTTAAAGATATGTTAAGTTTATTTATATGTTTATCGAAATTAGATCACTCAGACTCATTTTCAATTATATTTAAACACGATAATTCAATTAAACTTATTTTATTGTCAGAATACAACCGGCGATTGCCGCTTATGGCCAACTCGTATTACTCCTTACTCAGCATGTCTGGACCAAAACATTCACAGCGCTCGTTGGTCAGTGGCGCGGCGCGTAAATTTGAAAATATAAATTAAGAGCTAACAGATAATAAATCATAAAAGTCGTTTGTTTTCAACAACCCTTTTATACAACGAATCCATTCCAAACGTAAGATCACTATACTCTCACTCTAGCTGTGTGTTCTATTTCAAACTGAAAAATAAAAAATTTGTAAA